GCACACGACACAAGCTTTTCACACTTGTGTCGGGGTCAGGATCGATCATTACATAAACGTGTTAAAAAATTATATAAATATATAAACGTGTATTTTTCTTTTCTTTTTTCGGTATCATATTTATAAAACATAAGGAAACAGAGTAGATTATTATTTTTATCATATAATATTATTTACAATTCTATTCTCATGGGATAAAGATGAAATTGAATGTTCTCTGTAAGTTTATTTTTTTATTTTATTTATCAAATTCGACAAAATGTTTTTACTAAATAACTTAGTAGTATTTATTTCGTTTTTTTATATACAAAATAGAGGAATAAAAGAATGTCGATCGAAAATGATAAAAACGTGGATAAATAATAATAAAGAGGTCTTTAAATTCTTCAATGGCGTGACAGGTGAAGATGAAGACCGAGGACAAACAATGGTGTGCCTTTACACCTTACAGACCCGGTGGATGAATAATAAAGACCTGACAAATTATTACATAAAAAAAATCACTTAATTGTATTTTTATTTTTTGTTTAATTTTAATATCTTTGATTTAATTCTTATATATTTTTTACCACTAAATGTGTGAATTAGTTAACATGTAATTGTTTCAATTTAATTATCAGCTAGAAATTCGAATTGTGTATGATGTTATTTAAATACTTAAAAGGAAAAATTTTACTGTCTACAATAATTATACCTGACTCAAGTATAATTATTTTTGTAAAAGATAATTATATATCAATAGAAAAATCTTGTTATTTTTTTTTAATATTATTTCAATTAAGTTACTCGCTTCAAAATTTTATTCCGCAATTAATAGCGGTGCAACATAAATATGATGTATTACGGTTGATATAAAAAATTAAAAAGAAAAATATAAATTTACAAATAATTTATTGTCTACCCTCCATTCCTTATGATAGTTGTAATGTGAAATGATAATGTCATTCTCAAGATCCTATGATGATTGTAATGTGAAATATAGATGTGAATAACATGTAGATAAAGAACTGAATACGTTAATTTAAGTTAAAATTCAAATGAAAGATGAATTAAAAAAAATAACTTATAAAAAAATATGTAATATATATAATATTGTATAAAAATTGACACATAAATAATTTTATCGACATTAAAATAGATAATATAACGATGTGGTCGTGTATTACTTTGTAATTCAGTTTTGTATATTATAAACAAATATATGTTGTTAGGCGTGTAATTGGATTTTTCTACCGATAAAGGTCATAAGTATATAATTAGAGACCTTTGCATTAATTTTTTCTCCATCGAATGTCTCATTTGAATAATTGAATTAACTAAAGTTTTGATTTACATTTAATCTTAGAATTTAATGCTGTGTACTCATAGGAACAATTGTGGAATTGCCCAAAATCACAAAGTCCAGAGTATTGTTAATCATAAATTAAAGGTGAAATAATGTATTACGTATCTATGTTGCACAACAAAGAGACAACAATTAAAAGGGTTTGGTAGCAAGTGCGTTGCTTCACGGCTTCGTGAACAATAGATGATAAATATATATATATATATATA